ACATCAATGATCTGGAGGTGGGGGTGAAAAACACACCAGCAAGGTTCGCTGATGACAGTGAGCCATGGGGAAGTAAGGCCACGCATCAGGGTAGGCTGACGATCCAGGCGGACCTAGACAGATTAGTTTGACGGGCGGACCAGACCCAGATGCTGTTCAACACTGAGAAGTGTAAAGTGCTCCATCTGGGGAGGCAAAATCCACAACAAACTGCCAGGCTCGGTGGTGCTATGCTAGCTAGCACCACGTCTGAAAGGGACCTGGGGGTCATGATTGACCATAAAATGAATATGAGCCAGCGGCGTGATGCTACAGTCAGCAGAGCAAACAATACGCTGGCATGCATCAGCCAGCGCATCTCATGCAAAACTGAGGCAGTTATTCTCCTGCTCTACGCGGCATTGGTGAGGCCGCAGCTGGAGTATGGCATCGGTTCTGGGCACCGCACTTCAGGAAGGATGTAAAGAAGCTCGAGAGAGTCCAGAGAAGAGCCACTCGTATGATTAGAGGCCTGAAGAGCAAGCTATACGAGGACAGGCTGACAGATATGGGACTGTTCAGCCTAGGAAAGAGAAGACTTCAGGGAAATTTGGTGGCAGCTTACAAATATATCAGGGGAGAGCATCAGGGGCTAGACAAACAGCTATTCACCAAAGCGCACTAGGAGCATAAACTCGTAGAAGAAGGTTTCCGACTGAATATAAGGAAAAACTTTTGCACGGTTCACGTGACCAGACTCTGGAACAGACTCCCAGCGGGGCTGGTGCAGGCACCCACCCTGCGGCTCTTCAAAAGGAGACTGGACGCACTCCTCGCTGGGGGTATTTGACCCCAGCAATCTTTCCTGGACCCGATGATCTCACAAGGTCCTTTTCAGCCCTAAACTGTGAATCGGTGTTCTGTGCTAAGTTAAACCACGAACCTGAGACTTCTTTGCAGTTGTGTAAGATCTCTTTGAAACTAGTCCCGGTTTGCTGCGCTTCAGCTTCTTAATAAAATGGCTATCAGCTAAATTGAACAACTCAGACTTACTCATGGAGTGTGCTATCATAGAGTGTACTGCAGGCATGGAGTCCACATGCTGTAACACGTAGGCAGGGGCTTCTGTTATATCATGTTAATGGCATGTTTTGTCATCCTTGCATTCATTCACCTTTCTTGTGTAACTCATTTTGCTTCTGTCTGGAATTTCCATGGGAAGAATGGAGATGGGACACTTGCCAAAACCACAGGCAGGATTACTTAAGAACAATTTGAACTTCTAACGAGGCGGAGAGGTGAAGCAAACCACCTTGCACAGAAACATGTTTGACACTTTCATTTTAATTCCAATGTATGGCCTGAGACCTGGAGCTGGGGATTAACCTGCCTTGCTGGTGACCTTCCAGTTCTGGCGTGCATGAGTGAGCACACTTGGGGCGGACATGTGCAACCTTGTATACTCCAAGACCCATGCCCATCTTGGCATAGATAAGATGTAAATCAGCGGCCCTTTTTTAAAAAAGAACAGTTCCTCCTATGACTAGAGATAGTCAGCCCAGCCTGTAGGCTAAAATCCAGGGTTACATGCTCAGCAAACTCTGCCTTGAATGACTTTTAGATGTTGAAAGGTGTTAGTGGAGGACTGACTCGGCGTTGTTTCTTGAAAGGGTAAGTTTTACTCTGAGGTGCTTAGTGATCATTTGAGCAAAGAGATCCTACCAAGTTGAGAATAGTAATTGTATTTAGCAGTGCTAGAAAAACACTCCCTGCCACCCCGCAAATGTATAATAGCAACCACAACATTCAACGTTCAAGCCAGAGGGAGAAAACTACAAAACTACACAATGCTGACCTACAACTTTAGGAAGTTAGTTGGAAGAAGCTTAGAAGAGAAGGCAAAAATGTCAAAAATCTGCAGGCAGCTTGGAAGCTGTTTAAATATACCATACTGAGGCTCAGGAAATGTGTATGCTACAAATCAAAGGGCACCGAGCAGACCATGAAAACTCCTGCATACATGGCTTAATAGCGGAGTTAAGGAGGCTGTTCGAGGCAGAAAGGCATCCTTCAAAAAATGGAAGGTAAGCCCAAATGAGAAAAATAGGAAAGTGTGTATGTGTGTGTATTGATCTATCAATCTATCTACAGCTCTGTGCGTGCGCGTGTGTATACCCCCCCATATATATATAGATATTACAGAGACTCTTTCTTCCAGGTCCCCAGGCTCTAAGAGACATTTTCAAGTTTATATGAATATAAATAGTATTTTATATTTCTAGTATATTAGTATAAACTTGATAATGTCTCTTAGAGCCTGGGGACCTGGAAGAAGCAGTCCCACATATAAGTCAAGTCTTATAGGTTTAACTTTCGGACTTGACAATCCCCAGCACCTGTCACGTTTACAGAACCGGAGCTATTACCCTCTATTTGAGACTTTAACATCAAATGTTCCTCTCGCCAATGTAACATTTATTTATTACAGACCAGTAATGTAATTAAGTGCGGGGGGTGACAGGGCAACAGCCCTAGGTGGCCACTTTGAGGGCGGAAATAGCACCTACTGCAGCTGCTGGCCAGCCACACTGCTCTTCCCACTGCCCCGTGAGCCTCTGCAGCCCAGGCCACAAAGCAACACTATTATGCCTCTGTTGCAGCCCCAGACATACGAGATGTCTGGCCAGGGGCGGGAGGAATTCATTTACAAACAGTTTACAGCAGTGTTTAGTGCTACAGTCCATCGCTCCCTCTATTCTACATACCTCCACCACAGAAGGAGCGTTGTTTGTCCATCCAGCAAGCAAACAGCTATGTACATCTTCCCAGAAATAGGATTTGGACTTGAGTTCTAGGCAAATACTAACAGAAAAAACAATTGCAAGATGAACTACAGAAGTCCATTAGCCCCTTGGCTAACACAACCACTTCGGAGATGTTGCTGCTGCTTCTATATTTGATGGACTAAAGTCAAAAGCTTCCTCAAGGTGGTGAGGACTGTGCTGTGTTGGAGATGCAATCTCTATCGCACCCTTCCTGTTGTTTTTTCAGGGATGTTGTTCCTGGTGGGAGGGGGTTCAGAAATCATGATCCCTACTTTACTTCAGGTTATTTCAGTGATGAGTTAAGCTGTGCCCCATGATTACATCATCTTTAATCATAACTATGCAAGGCAATACATGATTCATTATTGAATATATAATTATTCACTATCTCCCAAAGCACAGTCTTTAATTAAAGTGTTAGATTGTGAAAAAGTCATCACAGGGAACGGGTGGCTCTCCACGAGTTACAGCAGGGGACCTGCATGTCTGTCAGTACCCTTGAGGGCTGCCTGAGTGGCTTGGCTCAGGCTTCGGCTGCAGGGGCAAGCAAGGGAAAGATTCCTATTAAAGAGCAAGTCTATGCTTGGTTGGGGATTAGGGACCAGAGAATCACAGCAGAAGGTGTTTTCTGGCATCAGACTCCTTCTGGGTTTTTTTTTGACTTGGTCAGTGAATTGTGCCGACTATCACTAAATTCCTCTGGGTGAAATGCATTTCTGGACAGAGAAGATTAAGCTTTACTGTGATTGGTGCACCCACAATGTCACACCTAGGCAGTCATGAACTTCCCTTCTTTAATGGCATCTCATTCACCCTTAGGAAATGAACCTAGGGTTCCCTTTGTACAGAAGACTAGAATAAATAGCCCTGAATGTAAATTTAAAAAAAAAAATCCCTTCTAAGGGAGCTGATTTGCACACAAACCTGACTATTTTCAAGACAGAGGGAGCTGTAACATCCCTTTGCCTTCCCATAGCACCAGTGCCAGTGACTTAAAAAAAAATCTCACTCTTGGGAGTTGGGGAGAAGAACAGAAATGCAGAATGAGGGAAGTAAAATATCAGAAACCCTGATAATGCAACGGGGAGAGATGATATACTTCTGGTCTGCTAGATTCAGGCCAATATACAATAGGGCTGTGCAAAATGGCACTGTTTCATTTCGAGTAGAGTTTCGAGGTTTTGATGAAACAGCATTTTGTTTCGAACTGCATTTCAAGTTGAAACAGCTGTTCCATTTTGCTTCGTCGAAACAGTGAGGCTGTTTCGATGCTGTTTCAACGTTTCTCCCATTCGCTATAATGGGGAAGCTCGAAACAGCCTCTCTCATCCAGCAGGCAGATCAGGGCCCATCCTTGGGGGGGGGCACCAGGGCTGTGCCAGTCCTCCCGGGGCTGCGGGCCCCCGATCTGCCTGCCAGATGAGGGAGGGAAGCCGGTGCTGTCGCCTGGGACTGGGGAAGAGAACTGAGCCCAATTGCTCAGTTCCCGTCCCCAGTGCTACAATTGGGCTGGGGAAAGGAAGTTGGCCCAGCTGGGCTGAGTTCATTTCCCTAGCTAGAAGGTCATGCTGGGGTTGGGAATTCAGCCCAGCTGCCCTGAGTTGCCTTCCCCAGCCCGATCTGGCTCAGTTTCCTTCTCCAGCCTAACTGCAGCGCTGGGGAGGGGAACTGAGCCGCGGCTCAGTTCCCTTCCCTTGCACGGTGATCGGCTTCCCACCCCAGCCACAGGAGGTGGGGAGAGCCAGGGCTGTGCTCCCTGCCTGGCTGAGCCTGGAGCTGCTGGGAGCACAGCCCTGGTTCTCCCCTATCTCCCACCACCTGGCTGTGGCTGCTTTGAACTAGCCTCGTTCTGTTTCGAGGCTGTTTTGAAGCCATTCATTTCATTTCAATTTTGCTGTTTCAAGCTCAAAATGAGTCAAAGCAGTGTCAAAACAAAACAGCCAGCAAAATTTTGCACAGCCCTAATATACAATCTTTTTAGTGTGATAGGGTGGTAGCCAATGCCATCCGCTCTGTTGGGAGCCACCGGTTGAGCAAGTCACGTGGCTCAGCCACACCAACGCAAGGAACAATTACGGTGAGATGCGCCTTCCTACAACACACATATGGGTTGATAGCTGGTAGTGAACTATAGACAGATGCAAATATTAATAATTGCTTTGAGAAACCACTCCCAAGACCAGCTATCACGTTTTGTACTTTGTCACGTGACTACGTGTACTTCCTAGCATTCCTAGGTGGCGAATGAGAAGAGGTAGGAAGAAAACTTTAAATTATGTGACTTTACTTAGGGAGACACTTCTGGAGTCGCAACAGCTAGGATTGAGTGGTTCCTCCCTTAGCACAGGGACATGGAGCTCATCAGAGGTATCTTTTTTTATCCTATTAAGTTTTTGTTGGCGTTCATATTGCATTATGAACACCCCAAGGCAGATATCCCTCAGGGACTTGAACAGCGCATAAAGATTTTTCTTTTACATCACTTCCTGAATTTCGGACTTGGTCTGGTAAGTGTTTTGTTGGAATCGGTTGACTGATTTCAGTTCTGATAGAAAGGTGCAAGCGGCTGGGATTTTGTAGAAGCTGATGTTGAAATATACCGCCAAAAAAAAAAAAATCACAGAAATATCCCCATCAGCTAGATTCATTCTAACAGGAGAAGAAAATAAGTGGTGTCTGTAGCTGTAAAGTGCATGGGTGCTTTGGTACCCAGGTGCCTTCCCAGGCTGCAAGAGAAATAAGCTGCCTTTTGTGGTTGTTTTTGTGAAGGGTTTTGTTGCTTGCTGCTGTGTGTAATGGAAGTATTGAGGGAAAAGCAAGCTGAAGAAAGAATGTGTGTGACTGCCTTGTGAATGGGGTGCGTTCTTCAGCCCTTCTGGCATCTTGAAAAAAATTGTTCTGTGGTTGAGTCCAAATTTGGTGAACCTGTCTCCTGTACTGAGGGCCTTCCTCTGCACTGAATGGAGCTTTGCTGCTCTCTTGCAGCTGCTGCCCTCAGGTACGACCATGTTTGCAGGATGAAGCAATGTCTTGGATAACCAGGGCCAAGTACATTCTGGTCTTTGAGTACCAGCACAGGGTCCTCGAGTTGGATGGTAAATAATACAGAGACTCATTAAGAAAGCTGAGCTGCCAGATGACTCACAAGATAAACTGAAGCTTTCAAAGAGGAATCCACAGCATCACTCTGACCTATTGTGATCCTTCTGAGTTCTTTGCAACAGAAGAAATGCCCAATTTTTTGGTTGCAGTCAAAAAACAAGTAGAGACTCGGATCCGGTGTTTTCTGAGGGGTGCCTTGAGTCTGAAAAAGTTGAGAACTGCTCATCTAGATAATGGCAGCATACTGATCTCTGCTCTCGCTTCCAGCCACTTCACTCCCACTTCTGATCCATTTTTGAAAGGCTGCTGCTACATATATTTTCTTGTAGGGGTGTGCAAAATTTCACTGGCCGTTTCGTTTTGACACTGTTTCAACTCATTTTGAGCTCAAAACAGTGAAATTGAAACAAAACAAAGGGCTTTGAAACATCCTCAAAACAAAATGAGGCTAGTCAAAACATTTCAAAACTTTCAAAATGTTTTGAGTTTCAAAGCAGCCAGCAGCCAGGTGGTGGGAGACAAGGGGGAACCAGGGCTGCGCTCCCAGCAGCTCCAGCCTCAGCCAGGCAGGGAGTGCAGCCCTGGCTCTTCCCGGCTCCTGTGGCTGGGGTGTGAAGCCAATCACAGCTCAGGGGAGGGAACTGAGTCCCAGCTCAGTTCTCCTCCCCAGCTCTGGAATCGGGCTGGAGAAGGAACTGAGCCGGATCACTCAGTTTCCTTCCTGAGCCCTATAATTGGGCTGGGGAAGGCAACTCAGTGCAGCTGGGCTGAATTCCCAACCCCAGCACAACCATTGCACTGGGGAAAGGAAGTCAGCCCAGCTGGGCTAAGTTCCCAACCCCAGCCTAATGAACTCAGCTCAGCTGGGCTGAGTTCCCCTCCCCAGCACTACGATCGGGCTGGGGAAAGGAAGTCAGCCCAACTGGGCTGATTCGCCCCCACCCAGACAACTAAGCAACCAGATAATAAACTCCAAACTGTTTGATTCCATACTGCACATCATGTTTTTAAAGATATTTCCACATGTACTGATATTTCAGTACATACTGGTGTTGTTACTCCTTCCCTTGCACTGCTGTTACATTGCTCATTGAATTCCCTCTGAAATGTGTGCTGCAGGGCAGGTGTTTTATCTCTGCTGCCAAGAGCCTAGTCCTCTTTTTTCTTTGTTGTTTGGAAGGATAAAGTAATGCAATAGTATGGGTGGGAAGAACAACACCAAGTGAAGTTTTTCCTCCTCATCTTTTATAGGGCTTATAGACTCTTGTTTTCATGCTGTGCTTTAACAATTTAATTTCTGAGCGCCTATAACACTAAGTGCATAAAAGACTCCCATAAGACAGAGTAGCTTGAGTCTTGCAGTGGAGATGCCCCAGTCACTCTTAGACACATGTTGTGAGTCAAGGAGAAAAACTGGGGGTCTTTGAAGGAAACATTTACAAGCTTACCATGGAAAATTTGGTAGAAAATGCTGAACAGGAGACTCGTGGTCCTTCAAGCTCTGTGCAATGCTTTGCTTATTGTTTGATGTCCCGACAATTATTTTACCTGCCTTTGATTTTGTTCAGGTAGCAACCTTCAATGCTCACTTCCCTAAAATGTGAGTCAAGGAAGCAATAAGTCTTGTATTTCCAAGCAGTGGAAATACAAAAACTTTTTAGTGCTTAATTAAAAAAATAATCATCAGTGGAGACTATGATCCATCAGCTATGTCCCATCAAAGTGAGTTGGCAATGGCTGAGAACATCTGTGAAACTTATTCCATTTTCAATCTTTTGTGAGATTTTTTTTGCCTGCTCTATCAAGATGTAGAAAATAATTATTTTTTACATTTATAATGACAAAAAATTGCAATAATTTCAAGTGCAAAGTGTAGGGACTCTGGTTCTCTATGTGAGAATGGCATGGTTAAGCAGATACAGGGATTATGGTACAATTTCTTAGTTCAGCAAGTCAGAGTGCTTCCTAGGTAGGAATGCCATGATGATTAAGTGACAAAAAATAGACTCTATACCAAAAAATAAAATCAGCAGTCACATGGACAAATACAATCTGCTGGGGAAGAGTCAGCACATTTTTTATAAAGGGAAATCTGGGCTCTCAAATTGGGTGGAGTTCTTTGAGGCTGTTAACAAACACGTGGACAAGGGGGATCCAGTTGATGTACTATATTTGGACTTCCAAAAAGCTTTTGACAAGGTCCCTCATGAAAGGCAGGACTGGAGAGAAGGTTCTTTCATGCATTCAGGGCTGGTTAAAAGACATGAAGCAAAGGGTAAGGCACTTTTTAGGGTGAAGGGAGGTCAGCAGTGGGGTCCCACAAGGATTTGTGCTGGCCCAATTTTCTTCAACATTTTCATCAGTGGTGGGGAAATTGGGGTGCACTGTCAAATCTCCAAGTTTGCAGCTGATCCCAAATTATTGCGAGTGGTCAAGTCCTAAGCTGATGGAGAGGAGCTGCAGAATGATCTTACCAAGCTAAGTGAGTGGGCAAAAAAATGGCAGATGAACTTCAGTGTAGACAAGTGCAAGGTAATGCAAATGAGGAAAAACAAACTCAACTAGACATACACGATGCTGGGTTCTGAACTAGCTGTTACGACTCTAGAAAGAGATCTTGGAGTCATCATAGGCAGTTCTCTAAACATGCCAGTTTAATGTGCAATGGTGACCCAAAAAAGCCAATGAAGTGTTGGTTATTACTAGGAAAGGAATAGAAAACAAAATGGAGAACATCATCATGCCATTGTACAAATCCACAGTATGCCCCTGTATTGAATACTGGGTGCAGTTCTGGTCTCCACATCTCCAAAAGGATGCAGTAAAATCAGAAAAAAGTGCAAAGAAGGGCAACCAAAATGGTCAGAGGTATGGAGCAGATGCCATATGAGGAGAGATTAAAAAGCCTAGGACTCTTCAGTTTGGAAAGGAGAAGACTGGGGTGAAGGGATATGATCGAAGGCTATAAAACCATGAGGGGTACAGACAAAATGAATAGGAAATTGTTCACCAAGTCGCAGAATACTACAATTAGGGGACACCTCCTGAAATGAGTAGGAGGCAGGTTTAAAACTAACACAAGAAAGTACTGTTGAAAACAATGTATAGTTAACTTGTGGAATTCACTGCCACAGGAAGTGGTAGAGGCAAAGTATAGCCAGGTTCAAATGGATTAGACAAATTCATGGATGATAGATCTACTAATATTTGTTGAACAGGATGGTTGGAGATTTCTCCTTATGCATCTCTTAATTAACAAGAGTGGATGCCAGACAGGATTCACTCTAGATCACTGGCTACACGTAGGGGGTCCACATGCAACCCTTGAGATCAGCTGTGCACCCCCTGGAAGTGCCAGCCATGAAACTGGAAGTGCTGCCAGGGGAACCCCCCAGTCAGTGATGGGCCGCTGGGGGAACCCTCCTCCCCCCCAGTCAGCCCCGGCTGGCCTCCCCCAGGCTTGAACTCTGGTTCAATTAACCAGAGTTCATTGAAATTGTACTCCAATTAATGGCGTAATAATTGTCACTGAAAAAGGGAAGGGCAAGAAGCTGCCAAAGGGCTGCTGTTAGCAGCTTTGACGATGATGGGAGCCAGTTGGTTTCCTGGCTGCTATCTCCTTGCATTTTCAAATCTTCTAATATTAGCCCTGGGTCAGCATTTCCCAAATCCCCTCAAAACTGCCAGTCTGCCATGTCCTCCACAGTCACCATCTATTCACCTACTCATTGGATCCTTCTGCTGCAACGGCACAGAGCCGGCTCCTTTATGAGCTACTCTCGTGGGCTGTGGAGCAGCTAGTCTGTGTTCATATTTTCAAGATCGTCTTTACAACACTTATATAACAAAGAACACCTTTTAAAAATACTGCCTGAATGTGGGAGCGTCCATTTTGGTAAACAGCTCAATATTTGATGAGAGAGATATTGAATAATGTCCACTGAGATGGACAAATAATTATGCCTCAGTACTAATGTAAATTGAAAAAAACTAAGCACGAGTGTTTGACCTAAGAGCTAATTTATGAGCAGGGGGAAAGGACAGAACGTAAGGAACAGAAGAGATCCACCTTGATCTTTATAGCAGAAGGTGGAGAATGGCTAAACGCTTCAGGGATGAGACTAGCTATAAATGCCAGGGAGCTGACAAAATGGTTTCACTCCTGGCTGTCTCTTCCCACTGATGTACAGGGTGGTTTAGGCAGGTGTGTCGGCACAAAGCGGGCTGCATACCAATGCAGATGGCTGTACGAGTGACTTCTGGATGAGGAGCTTTACATACCCAAGCCAGATCAGTTCTCAGGGACCCCTCCCAAGCATAAAATATGTGCCCCAGGCCCATACATCTTGGCACAGGCCCATCTCCTTTTCCTACAATCCTAAATTGAGCATGGCCTATAATCCTAAACTGAGCATGGCCTTTATCTCTTTCCATTCCCTTCAGATCTGAGCCATACCCTTGGCCCAATATATGTTTGCGTGACATGGAACGGTTTGCATGTAGGTGGGACTTCAATTGCTTAAACAGTTCAAAACTTACAGGTTAGGTACAGAAATTACACTTTTACTGGTATAAGTAATCAGAAACAGATCCGGACCCTTAACAGAACAGAAATTTAGTACATATAGATTGGTTTAAAAATGGCAGAATTGCTGAATGTAGAATTGTTGTGAATTTAGAGAAAGAACAGAGATGTGTCTTGTTAAGTGCTTGTGTGATAAAGTTGATTGCAATGAGAGATTCACCCTTCAGTATATTGCTGAAACAAACTGACTAGGGTCTGCATATTAATTCTGGTTTCTATATTTTTTTTACAAACAGGCAAACGTTTTGGACAAAGCAGGCCTCTGCTATGAGCATGATGTCCTGCGATTTTTAGTAAATGGTGTACCACCACAGAAGACTAACGAGCTTTTAATTAACAATGTGATGTTCAACAATTTAACCGTGAGGATCTACCAGCCCAAAGTGCCGTCTACCGGCCTGCGGAGAGGAATCGTTTATTGCCATGGAGGAGTTGGCCGGTTTGGAAGCATCAGTAAGAAATTCTGGAATTATACAAAACTAGAAACTAAAAAGTACAAAAATTACTGTGGAGTTCTTTTTAGGACGTGGGTTTTCTCAAATGATACCATGAATGGGAAAATTTAAAAGAAATGATTCGTATAACCAACTTCTTTAATATAAAAGCAATCTACTATTGCTGTTGGTTATAGGTGTGTTGGAAGAAAATGTTCTTTTTGGGTAAACGTGGTATCTTTTATTAGACCAACTAAATAGGTGGAAAAATTGTTCTTTGCAAGCTTTTGGGCACAGCATAGGATGAATCTACCTATCTACTTCTATTTACATTTAAGCAGTGTCATGCAGCTGAGTATTTTCTTGAATGGAAATCTGTACTGTTTAATGATTTCCACCCTTTGGTCATTTGTACCTTACTAATCGACTCATCTAATGAATCCCCTCTTATTTTGGATACTACAGATAGAAATTCAGGCTTTGATCATGTCACATCTCTTGGGCTAAAAACAGATGTCACTTTTGTTGTGGCATCAGCCTTGCTGGGATGTGTTTCAGCACAGCTGATCTGATTGATGAACAGAAACAGGGGCCTAATCCTGCAGGACGATGACCCCTGGTGCCATGCCCCAACCTGGGCATGGCAGCTTGATTTTCAGGGTGCATACCTGGAAGCACATGAAGAGGACCCCATAGAGGTTCTCTCCTCCCCACTTACAGGCTGTGCCCTGACCTGGGGTACAGCAGCATGAAATGCCTGTCCTGGGAATCACTACAGGTACATCAGCACGCGTCGGTAGGAACTGCTCTGGGAGTGTCTGCCTGGGGTAGTGGAGAGCATGGGCAGCCCAGGGCTGCTGGTGATTACTCACCATAAACTAACAGATATTGGCTAAGACTATTATTGCGAATTTTAATGACCTCAACTTTGGGTATATGTGGTGCAACAAAGGGCAGAGACATCTGTTAGCTTGGGGTGTGTGCCACCATAAATATTTTATAGCGGCACAAAGGTAATAGTTGTTTGCAGCCTAGCAAATATAATCCCTGGTTAGAAGCTGTGCCTGAGTTCCTTTACCCTTGAAAATTTCCCTACGTGGAGGAATCTCTTTAAGAGATTTCCCATTATCCTGAGCAGTCTCTCTCGTTTTTTGATTAAAATTGAAAGAATTTAAGACAAACCATGTCATTATACAAGATTAAGGAAGTGAAGCATTTTGAATGATAGACACAAAACAGTTTTTTTTCTTTTCTATTTTCCCAGGCAGCGAAGGAACAATGCTTTTTCAAATAAATCATAATTCTGGTTGCCTGATTTCACAAGGTGCCTGGCACTTGCTGGCTGAAAACCCAGTCCTTTAAGGCACCCCAAGTTGGACAAAATATTTCATTAATGCAGCTCATTTAAGCGCTTTATTTTGCAGATGCCTATGAGAGAGTATGCCGCTCTATCTGCAGAAACAGTGACTCGGTGGTTGCAAGCATTGAGTAAGTAGTCTCACTCTATCTGCGGTATCTGGGAACCATTTATTACATGTCATGTGTGGGCTTGAGTGTCTGCTGTGCACCCCAACTCAGCAGCTGGTTCTTGAAAGGAGAAAGTGGATTAGAAAAAGAGACATACTAGGCATGTCTACACGTTCATTAATGCACCTTAGTTACTGTGTATTTAGTGTAGTACCTCTAATAAGAGGCACTAAGTGAATGTGCAGTAAGTAGAGTTACTGCGCAGTAGTGCCAGCGCACAGTTTTTTAGTGACACTTGCTGTGCATTAGCTTAATAACACTGTTCAGTAAGCTATTAGTTTTGACTTTTCAAATTCTCCTCTCCAAAACTATTAACTAAAATCAATGCACACAGAGGGGAAAAAAATCACAGGTTTTCTTGAACTGAATCAATGTTTCTTGTGAAAAAGATATTTCATCTGAAAAATGTTGCCCAGTTCCAGTTAAGAGCAAATACAAAAGAGCAGCCCACAGATGTTTTATTGGCCTTATCAGACTCAAGAATTTTGCTATGGATTTGGGAACATCATTTTCTAGTATCGCAAAGTCACCTACCTGTGTACTACTACTCTATCCGCTAACGGGGTGCTAATGTAATTGTATTACCCATCTACCCTTAGATAGTCTTCATTGCAGAAATCCAGCTACATGACCCTGTGTTGGATACCAGGAGTTTCTGGAGAAACGTAGTTCAGGCAATGAATGAGGAAAACTGTGCGGCCCAAATGGAATTAATAATGCAATTAATTAATGGAATTAATAATGATTTTGTTTTGTATCCTGAAACCTTTGGCTAATCCAAATGGCATAGTAAACTGGTAAAAAAACCCCCACAAAAGTACACATCTGTGTATATTTTAGTCCTCTGAGGAAGAACCTTATATAAGTGAATAATTGTGGATTGTCCAACACCATCTTTCATATTTCTGGATTAAGGGTTTTATTTATCCTCATTAGGTGTGGAGAGACAAATGACCTTGGGGAAAAAAGTTGTTCTCTTTGAATTATATATACAAAAAAATTGCATTGGTTGCTCCTTAAATCCAGGACTGGTAGAGCTAAGCTAATACCTGCCATAGAGCAGTGGTGCTCAACCTTCTGGCCCCATGGACTGGATGAGGGGCATGGAGCCGGTCTGCAGGCAGGATCCCACCATGGGGTCAGTCCGTGGGCTGGGTTCAGGATGGGGTTAGTATCCAGGGTCAGTCCATGGTCCACTGCAATTAATGCTAACACTGCACTTCCACCACCAAATATCTATGCGGGGGGGGGTCTCACAGACCAGATGACATGGGCAGGAGGTTAAGCAACACTTCCAAGCTTCTCCCTTTACAAATCTTTCATGACCCAAAAGACAACGGGATAGCTTTAAAATTTTCAGATGTTTACTTTCTAAAATCCTATTCTTGAATATTTGCTGGAGGAGCTGTGAAAAATTTGACGCCAGGATTACAGCCAGGAGGCTGGTTACTGGTTCACACCCTGAAGCATTCAGGAAAAATAAGCCATGTCAGCAATTGCCTGAACCACATGCAAAATTAGAATAAATAAATAAATAACCTTAATACTTTTCCTATCAGTCAGATACAAGGTAATTTAAATTCTTTCTCTGGTATTTTAGGTATCGCTTAGCTCCTGAGCACCCATTTCCAACCCAGTTTGACGACTGTGTCACTGCTACCATCCACTTTATGAGGACGGCAAAAGACTATGGGGTGGACCCCACTCGTGTTATCGTCTGTGGAGACAGCAGTGGAGGCACAATTGCTGCTAGTGTTTGCCAGACCCTGGTGAACAGAACGGACCTCCCCAAGGTGCGGGCACAGATCCTGATCTACCCATTTCTCCAGGCTGTGGACTTTAACTTGCCTTCATATCAGCAGAACGAGGACGCTCCAGTCTTACCAAAAAGTAGGACTGTTGACTTTGGTTTCAAGTATTTAAATCTGGACCCATCACTGATAGATGATTTCCTGAGAGGTGCTCATATTCCTGAAAGTGTAAGACAGAAATACAGTAAATGGCTGAGCCCAGACAATCTCCCGAACAAATTTAAGACAAGAAGCTACAAACCACCTCCAATTGCTCCATGTAAAGAAGAGGTGTATGCCTTGGCCCAGCCATTTATTGGGACAACCTTTTCCCCACTTTTAGCCGAAGATGCCGTTGTTCGTCAACTCCCCGACTCTTTCATTTTGACCTGCGAGTATGACGTGCTCAGGGATGATGGGCTGCTGTACAAGAAACGACTGGAGGACAATGGTGTCCGAGTGACCTGGTGCCACCTCAGTGATGGCTTCCATGGTGTGTTATTTGCAGTCGATTATGGGATTTTATCATTTAAGGCTGGACATAAAGGAATCAACAGGATAGTTAACTTTATAAAAACTTTGTAAAAAACCCCCCACTTTTTTCTTCAGAGCTGGGAGCCTGGCATTATCTGTCCAAAGTCACTCCTCTCAGCCATCACAGAAATGTCAAGATACTCTCTGATGTCAAAGATTTGGTCATGTCCATCACTGGAGCTCCCCTCTTGCATGTTGTTCCAGGTGCTTGAGTTGGTGACTGCTGTTTCTTGCTGCTTGTAGGTGATGTGGTAGGATGACCTGCAGATTCACAGACTACCCGCATGTTGGTACTCAGCTTCTTATGGCTGTTAGGTATACCCATGAAACACTTGGCCTTCCAGAAAGAGATTGGGGCAGTGCAGTGAATGCTAGGGAGAAAAGACAGGGCTTGGTAAATGGCACTGGGGCTAAGTCTGAGGTTGTAGGAGGATGAATCTGCAGGAGAAGTGGAACAATGAATTTGGGAGAGCTGGATCTAGTGCCAGTTCCAGAAGGGCCTAAATTGGACTGAGTCAAATTTGAATGTAAGTGAAGGCTGCAGGGACCTGGAGAACTGAAGAGATGTGGGGACACAGGCAGAGAAGAGATGGTGGAAGGAGAAGGGGACAGAACTGGGAGGAGCAGAACAGCACAAATTATAAGCTAAAAAAATGCAACCAGCATTTAATGAGGAGCTAGATATTAACGGTGCCTGTGGACATGCAGGAAGGTTGCTCCAACATGCTGTAATTACAGCACATTGGAGCAGCCTCGATTGAGTCTGCTGGAGCATGCTAAATTAGCGCACCTCCAGCAGCCTCTGCGTCTTGTGTATCGCTGTCCCTGTGCTTCAAAATGGGGGTGGGGGAACTTTAACTAAAGCTCATTAGACAAGCTTTAGATAAAGTGCCCCCATGGCCATTTTGAAGCATGGGGATGCTGATACACAAGATGCTGTGGGTGCTTTAATTAGAGAGGCTCTCCCTTTCCCACTCACCCCGCCTCCTATCTTTCTCTCGCCTGTTGTCTCACAGGGCCTCTGATCTCCCCTACCACACATTTCCATTTTCACAGACCAACATTTTGCATACTGGCTTTCATTCTACCCAGGAGAGATCACAAAGAAACAACAAACTCTCCGTGTACCTGAAGATGGGGGTTTGTACTCAAAAACTTGCAAAGAACAAGATTTCCAATAAAAGATAACGCATTTACCCAAAGAAACTTGTCTGCCTATTCTCCAAGAATAACATTTAATAAATTTGTCATTTTGCTTATTGTATTCAGTGCTTTACTTTATTTTATTTTACTTTAACTGACACCACTTTTCTTTAAAAGTATCTTGCATTTTCACTGCTTCTTCATTGGTCCCCAATACCAAAAGCTAATTGTCATTTATCATGTTATCACACCTTTTATCTTAATGTTCTCACACCTTTCACCTTAATACGTTAAAATTTTGAACCATTCAGTTTTCTACATTTCCATACTGAAAATATGCCTGGGTTATACCTTTATAGAAATATATTTTCTAATAAATACACGAACACATTGCATCACGATAATTTTTCTTGCAATAAACCAGTGTTTTTCAACATGTGGTCCACTGACCCCTGGTGGTCCTCAGACTATGTCTAAGTGGTGCATGAAAGATGACTACGATCAATCAAAAGTATGTGAATACCCACACTTACAGTTCAAAGGGGTCTGCACCTCCATTCAAAATTTGCAAAGGAGTCTGCACCTCCATTCAATTTTTTTAAGGGGTCTGTGAATGAAAAAAGGTTGAAAACCACTGCATTAAACTAAACCTCAGTCACACCTTCACCCACAAATGTTTTGCATTACTGCAAGCACATGCTGTTCATCACTGCTAGATGTGAGGGATACCAAAAATCAAAAACAACTTGGGAGAATGCTGGATTGAACATACCTGGAATGCAAAAGTAAAGACTGTTTTAGACACTGGCTCTAGGACTGGGAAACTTCAGCTCGGTTCATTCAATTCCCTGTGAACATTCAACTCTTCCCTGTGCATCTGTAACACTGTTTTCTACTTTCCGCCATATGCTGTTGCACTGAGCTGCTGCGCTGAAGCAAACACTTGCTACCTTCTGATCTGGAAGTGATTTCATCTAGGCCCAGAGCCTTTGAATTAAGACACGTCAAACTCACCTAGCCCTGCAGCCATCTTTGCGGTTGTGGAAGATGCATAGGTATTAATGGGGAGTAAATGATGCTGACGTGTGACTGGTGCCTCCTGAATCTGGGGGGGCACCTGCAGAAGCTGCCAATCCTGGGGGGGGGGGGGGGACCAGCCCTACTGACAGCATCAGTGTCAGCCATCGGGGGGGCATGTGCACCCCCGTGCACCCCTTACCAGTCACCTATGGATGCTGATTAGTGCATGGGGTTTGGGAAGAAGGGGGCAGGGGGATGACTGAAGGGAAGAAGGGGGCAGGAGCCATGAGCTAATGGAGTGGAATATGGTGGTGGCT